AAAAAACAAGAAAAATCATCTCAATGCTGAAAAAAAAGAAAGACTGTTTTATAGTGAATGAGAAATTGGAAAATGTGAGTTTTTTTTTTTTTTGAGAAGCATGCTGGAAACGGAAGTATGTTAAGTATTCTGAAAAATATGGTAGACAAAGGACATAACTAGTGAGAAAGAGAAAGCTGAAGATAGGTTTGTTTTTTTTTTCTAACTTTTTCTGAAAGAGATGTGGAAGAGGTCATAGGTTGGCATGTTTGTTTATTTTCAGTGATGAGGACTGAACCTGGGTACTCATGCATGCTGGGTGAGCAAGCCACCATAAGCTACACTGCAATGGTGTTAAGTTACACTTTTCATCTATATTGTTTGATTCAATAGTCAGATAGGAGCACACAATTTCTTCAACTACAGTTTCATTACTCTTCAAGAAACCATGTCATATGACCCACAGTTTCTGAAGGACTGGATTTTGATGATGACATCAATGTGATGCTATGTGACATTTTGTTTACTGTAATTCTGATGAATTGGTTGACAACTGAATCTAGATGGCTTAATCACATCACATTGGTTATTTTTAAGGGAGATAAAAAAAACAGCTATGATACTTAAATACATCTGGTTAGCTTTTTTTTGAGACATTAACAATTGCTGATGATTAATGCCTGGATCCATTAATTTATGAGGGGTAAAATGTGATATTTTCATTCTCTTAGTCTTCATTAGTTCAAGAACTTCACACCAGAGACTTTTTTTTAATCTACCACTTGGCTTTCAAGTGGTATAGTTAAATATAAAACAGATTGCCTATTGATCTATTCTTCCCCCTCAGTGAGCAGTTAATGAGTAGGCTCACAAGAATATTCCAGTTGTGAACTATTAAATTTTAATATGCTAACACTGGTTATATTACCTATCAAATGCTTCATCTACTTATATTAAAATGATTACATACTTCTTTAATACTAATATAGGAAGTACATAAATTTTATATTTATTTTTGAGGTGGGGGCAGGTTAGCCTCAAGCTCATGGACCTCAATGCCTCATCTTCCTAAGTACTGAGATGACAGGTGTGAACAACCATGACAGGGGTTTAAATTCATGTTTAATAAAATATAGCCGGTCATGTATTTTTAGCAACTCAGTAATGGCATTTGTTTATTTTGGAGACACTGGGGATTGAACTCAGAGCCTTATTTGTGGTAGATGAATACTCTAACATGGAGCCAAACCTCAGTCCATGGAGATAATCTAAAAATGCTACATGCAAGAAGGCCTACACAAGATCCATCCAGCCAACACTCAGCATGAAAAGGGAGGGGCTCACAAGGCCCACCCCTTGCCAAACAAACTGACAGGAGAAGCTTCTGAGAGAGGGAAGAATTCCTTTTAAGGGATTTGGTAGGCCAGTCACTTTCCACTGGATAGCTCAACATCATGAGAATACAGGCAGCACAAACTGGACTCTAGTGGGTTGTTTAAAAAAAGAAAGAGAAAGAAAGACAGGAACTTTGGAACAAGTGGGAAATGGGGATGGATCTGAAAGGAGTCCAGGAGAGTATGGATTGAATATAATAAAAATACTTTGCATCCATGCGTGAAATTTTCAGAAAAGTAATAAGAATATTATATTTAAGTTAAAGTAAAAATACTACATGACTTAGATTACAAACATTTTGGGCTGAACAATGCTTTTCTCATGTTGTCACTGTTAAGTATTGATATCAATGCTAAGAAAGACTCAGGCTGATTTATTTGGTTTGCTATGCTATGAGATTACTGGATTTTTTTTTTTTTATCCTTGCATGCTCAATAAAATGTACCTGCCATTACTCACTTGATGTTTGCCAGCTTGTTTTCTAAAAATTTTGAACTTGAACATTATACACATGCACACATAGGGGAAAGTTCATACACTGTCAAGTACAGACTCTGATTCATTATCACAGGAGCAATTTCACCTCCCATACATTACCTCAGCCTGACCCTGAGTTTTGCAAGAGAGCTGATGAGTCAGTGGGAACAGTAAATACATTAAAATAACTGCAGCCTGTTGGCAGGAGCAGCACTTAGCAGGTCTGGAAGATGCTGTTTTAAATCCCACTTGGCAGGAAAAGTCTGAAAGATGTTATTATAAACTGAATCCAGCAAGCAAGACAATTGTACCAGTGTCCCCACAGGTGCTTCTTAGAAACACCCAGGGTTGTGCAGGAGGTGTTGGGAGTCTGGTTTCTGGGGTGCTGGGATTTGTTTATTGAGGTACTGTGGTTGAGCCCAGGGTACAGTGCTTGCCAAGTTAGTATTGTATCTCTGACTTACACCCCGAGTCCCCAAAGAGGAATTCAAACATAAAAAATATTATAAAATTGTCTTTCTCCGTTTCAATGCAGTTTGATTTGTGGATGGTATAAATTCTTACCCTTCCATTTCACTTGTGAAGGTCTCTGAACCTCCACTGCATATAAGTTCCTGATCAAGTAATATAAGCTAGTTTTATCTTGACAATTCACAATTCAGGGGAGAAAAAAAAATCAAGACACTGTCTCATGTAGCCAGGCTGGACTTGTAATCTTGATCTTCTTGCCTGTTTCCCATGTGTTGAGATTACATGAATATGCTACCATGAGACAGACAGACAGACCAGAGAAAGGAGAGAGAGAGAGAAGTTCCTTTAATACTCTGGAACTTTCCTATAAGCAAACAAGTCATATCAAGTTCTTTCCCTACTGTGGACTTTCCGGTAACACATTTCCCACAGTTGCTATTGTATATTCCAACAGCTAGAAGCTCAGCAGTGTACAAACCCAGATGTTCATACCACCATACAACATAATTCAGCATACAATAAAGTTCTTATTCTCACCCATAATTAAAGAAGTATAATACAAACTAGAAACGATGACATTCTACCTATTAGCAAATGTAAAAAAACAAAACAAAAAAAAACAAAAAAACAAACAAACAAACAAAAACCAGACTAATAACATCAATTTGGGCTGGAGAGCTGGCTCAGCAGGTAAAGACATGTGCTGCCAAGCCTGACAACCTGAGTTCAATGTCCACAACACACAGTGGTAGGAGAGAATGGATGCCTGAAAGTTGTCTTCTGACCTTCACACACATGCTATGACATGCATATCACTTCCCTCAAAATAAGCAAATAAATATAACTTTAAAAATGACATCAGCTTTTGTAACAGAGGGACAAGCATTCCTCCATACCTAGATCAGTGGAAGAGTTTACGGTGATTTATCTTGCTGAAAATGCATGAACCGTGTGAGAAAACTTTGTCTACAAATGTGCTGACAACTTTGACTGCAGAGATGCGAGTACAAGATGTTTAGTGCAAAATAATTTCTTTTTTTAAAAAATTGTATGTACATGGGTATTTTGCTTGCATGTATGTCCACATGCCCCATGCACACAGTACTTATATTGGCCTGAAGAGGGCATTGGAGTCCCTGGGACTGCAGTTATGCATAATTATGCCAAGGGGGTGCTTGGAATTGAACCCAGGTCCTCTGGAAGAGCAATGATCTTAACCAGCTGAGCCATCTCTTCATGCCTTTCAACATAATTTCTTTAACAGTGTTGTAGAAACAACCTCAATGCTTAGGAAGAGGGGGAACTGGCTCAGTAACAGTGCAGTGAACACAATCCTACTGCATTCTAAACAGAGTTGAGTGAGGTAGAGCCTCATATACTAATACCTAGATAAAAAGTTAACTGAAAAAAGCCCATCTGAATAATATAATGCCACTGACATAAAAAGGGAAAAATCATATGTAATATGAACATTTATAAATTTGTAATTAAGTACTTGGGGAAGCAGAGCTGAGGTGGTGGGAAAAGAGACTTGAAGGATTAGCCTTCTTTCTACTATCTTCTGTGCTGTTTGGATTCCTCAGCGCAGGGTTTGCAGAGAGGAGTCCAAGCTGTGAGTGTAGGTTTTGAAAATTCTGAGTTCCGAGAGTTTATCAAATTCTTGTCAAATTACACTTTTCCTACAATAAACAATACTTAGAGGAAATCAATTAACTTCTTAAACTTGTTTCATAGGTAAGAAATTGGAATATCAACTTGATAGGTTATTAAAGTCCATGTTGTCTATGAAGGATTTCAGTAATTACATTTTTATTATATCTTACTTATTTGTGTGTGGGTACACATGCACAGTGTGCTGTTAAGGTCAGAGGACAACCTGAATGTGTAAGCTCTCTTGTTTATTTATGTTGTGTCTGGCAATGGTGTGTGGGTACACATGCCAGGGTGCTGTGAGGTCTTTCCTCCCTCTATGTGGATCCCAGGACTCAGCTTCAGGTTGTCTGGCAAGGGCTTTAGTTGGTGAGCATCTCACAACTAAATAGCTTTCAGCAATTGAAATGTGGTTCAACCCCAACACAAGCAATAGAAGAATATCTGTAAAGTTCAAGATATTAATTACACAATACCATAATAGTATTTATTATTGCTTGTATTCACAAAGGAGGTGTGTGCTGATGTGTCACATTATAAGAGTGGAGATCAGAGGGCATTGTGTGGAGATGGTGCTCTCCTACCCCTTCTCCTGTACATGGGTCCTGGGGACAAAACTCAGGTCACCAGGCTTGCACAGCAAGCACCTTTATTCGATGACCCATTTTAATCTAACTCTTTAAAAACTGTGTGGACATGATGTGTGTGGGGATAACCCTAACATAGCACATGTGTGAAGGATACTGTCTTCTTTTCAACGCAATCCTAGGAAAAGAACTTCTAAGATTATTTTAACTACAGACTATGTAAAATTACTTTTTAAAATGTAATTAAGCTGATTTTTAGTGACTGATTACAAATGCAGCTGCCTATAGCTTACCAAGTTAGAGACAAACAGAGAAAGACTTGAAGGGTAAAAAAAAAAGTGAAAGAACCCAAGAGAGCAACAGAAAGGGGAGTATGTGGTGTCTGCTAGTGAAGTAGGCAAGGGGGACTTTTGAGAGTCACTTCCCAGAGCAATACTATACCTAACAGCTGGCTGTGCTCCCCTGTGATGGAGTTCTGATTCGGGTCTGAAAAACAAACAATTGAAAAGGATAGGAAAAAATGAATGACCAAAACAAACAATTATTTAAAACTCAAGCAACGAAAGTCAAACAAGGTAATAAGTAAACTCTTAAAAAAAAATGAACATTAACAAAAAGGTAAAAAAGAAGAAACCAACCACAATAACTGTTGTAAAATAATTATTACATTCTTCAATACATTAATCACCAAATTACTACATGAAGCAACAATTCCACATCTATCCCCCAAAACACTTGAAAATGGGGACTAAGATATGTATTTAATCAAGTTTCCAGTGGCATTATTCACAAGAGTCAAAGGCAAAAACAAAGAAACAATCTACATTGTCCTCCGGCAGATGATGAGTACCTGAAATGTGGTACCCATATCAGATGGAGTATTATTTGCCTATAAAAAGAATGGAATTCTGACCCATGCTCTGTAAGATACAGAAGAAACATGAACATTATGCCAATGGGGGTGGGAGGAGGCAGCAGAAAGGATACCTATTATATGATTACATTTATATGACATACTGACCACAAGCAAATTTACAGAGATGAAAAGATGAGTGGCCAATGGGACTGGCTGAATAAAATATGGATATTGTTGACAAATGATCAGAGGTGCAATTTGGGGGTGATGAGAAATCTGAAAATTTAGGAGTGAGGGCATGGAAGAACTGTAGATAATAAATTCCAGGAAATACACAAAAACTGACTAAAAGGGCAAACTTGGTGTTGCAAATGTATTAACACAATAAAAAGTAACTACAAATCATCACACAGACCTATCATAAAGTAGCAGTATAACCTGTCAGGACCTGTACCACAAGTCACATTTTCTGCCACAACTCAGATGCAAGGCATGACCAGAGTGTTTATTGCTACCAGAATGCTCCAATGTGAATTAAAGACAAAGTGACTAAGTAGCTTTGATAAAAACCCATTTCATCAATAATCTGAAAGTGGCGACAACAAGCCAAATTCCTAATGCAAGAGAGATTGACAGTCACTACTTAACCATCAACGACTTGCTTATTTTAAGAGCTTGAAAAGCATTAAGGGCTAAATATGGAAGCAGCCCTGAGCTCCACTTTCCTCAGACTAAATCTCATGAGATGCTGAGAACTGCATCTGGCTTTCTTGCAAGCATCTGAAGAACAAAAATAAATTTAGATCATGGTTCTGTGAACAATGAGAAAAAATCTTTTATTTACTAATTTCCAACTGAAGTTTATTTTTCTCCAATTATTTTGTCAGCAATAAGCTATATAAAAGCAGCAGTATGGTAAGCATCACATTTTAAAAATACCATGCTATTGATATTTTTACATAAAATTCAAATATTCTCCAAGCTTCATAAATATGTCATATATAATTAAATATAATACATTAAAGTAAAGCTCCCAGAGGCAGGGACATAGCTAGTGATAGAGAGTGAGTTGGATCTCCATTACTTCTGTAAGTAATAATAAAAGACACCTCCAAGACAGAAAGGGTAAATAAGAACTCTTATTTACTGGTTTCTCATCAACACTACAGTATCTCTACATGCTGTCATCTAGGAAGACATAAAATAGATACCTTATTTCCACAATTAAAGTTTTAAATGCTAAATGATCATTTATATTCTATATACATATTTCAGAGAATTTTTTTCCTTAATTTGATTTCGGAAAAGAGAAATTTCAAACTTACCTATTCAATGACAACCAGGCCAACACACTAGCAAGTCAATCTCTAGCTTTTAAAAAATGGATCTTCTTATGTAAATAAAAGCATGCATAAGCCCTGTACAAATTAAAGTCATACAGAATTCAAACACTGAGAAGGGGATGTGGGCCACCACTAACCAAAATGCTACCTGCAACTGACATGCTGGGAGAGGAAAAATCATTTTTCTTCAACAGAGTGACCTAGGTAGCTCAACCAAACTTCTGGGCAGGCCTCATGCTCAACAGCAGCTGACCAACACCAGTTGGACTCAATGCATGAACACATATACACGGTTTTTGTTTGTTTGTTTTTTTTTTGCCTTTGGGGTTTTGTATTTTGTTTTTGAGAGAGAAAGGGATGGAGAGGGAGGAAGAAAGCAAATGAATAGGTAGGAAGGATCTGGGGGACTTGGGAGAGAGAAAAGAATATGATCAAACATTACATGAAAAATGAAAAATATAAAAGAAGATAAGGATTTAATCTGTTATGTACCTTTTACAGCACAGAGAAAAATGTCCATGGGCATTGTTTTTGTTTTTGTTTTTTCCCTTGAGGAGTCTTTCAAGTTTACTATTGTCCATGCAATAATCATTTTCTAATTTTCTGTCGAGAATTTCTTTACTACCAGTTATAGCTGAGAACAAAAATATCATGCTTGGCTCCAAACCACAGCAATAAAGTAAGTCATATAATTTTTATTTTTTGGTTTCCTAGTGCATATGAAACCTGTGTTTATAATACATTATAGTTTCTATGAAGTGTGCAAGCAACATCATATTCTTTCTTAAAAAATATGTATACCTTAATTACAAAATATTCTATTGCTAAAGAATGCTAATGCTTATCTGAGCCTGTCCTGGGCTTCATTCTCTTCACTGGTGGAAGATCTTGCCTCAGTGTTGATAGCTGCCATTTATCAGGGTGCTACACACTTAATGTGGTGGGAGGCGATGGCTACTTTTAAAAGGAAGACACAATGAAATCTGTGATGATTGATCCTTCACACAAAAAAGCCTCTGCAGCATGTGATGCTTTTTGACAGGATTTCTGTTGTTTTGTTTTGTTTTGGGGAAACAAGGTCTCACTTAGTAGTCAATGGAGGTCTCAAAGTCAGAATACTTCATTTTCAGCTTCTGAAGTGCTGCCACTACGGGCACACTACCACAGCTGATGATTACTTGACAATCACCAATCATACCCCAGTATGAATCCTGCCTGTTAAAATAAGGACTGGTCTGGTAGGAAATGACCCCCTGGTACAATCATGGCATGAGCATCATGGGAGTAATCAGAATCAGTCACTTTCTGACTTGTTCTATGGCCGTCCCACAAAATGAAGCCTACACCTGACACCATTACTGAACCAAGAACCTGTGGCTAGATGGACCATAGATCACAGAATCTACTATTATTATTTTGCTAAATACACAGAGTATTAAACCAACTCCTAATGACTTAAGATTATACTCATAGGTCAATGCATTTCTCAACCTTCAAGTGAGAAGCTTCTATCTGCAATAGATGGTGATTTATAGAGGGTGACTAACTGGGCAAGATGTACACAATAAGAAACAGAATTAAAATAATAAAAATAAAATGAAAAAAAATAAAGAGAGTAGGCATGACAATCTTGATAGTGACTGTTTCGAACAGGAATGGCTGCAGAAGGGCAGTATAAGATGGGAACAAGCTTGCTACAGTTGGAAACTTGTAATGTGCTAACATGTAGAGAGCATTATAGTGTTAAAAGAGATCAGAAAATTTGGAGGCAGCCACACCCAACGTCATGAAGACCATGATGTTATCCTAAACATGGTCTGGAATAACTGGAAGGTTTTAAGTAGCCACACAACATTACTGCCTAACTGTTTTTAAAAGGCTGGCTGTTAGTTGGACTGTAAAGGGAGTAGGAACAGAAATAGAGGGCTGGAGGGATGATTCAGCTGTTAAAGAATGCTTGCTGATCTTACAAAGGACCTAGGTTCAGATCTTAGCACACGTAATGGTAGGCTCACAACTGCCTATCACTCTGGTTCCAGGGGATTGAACACCATCTTCTGGCAAAAAAGAAAGGAAAGGAAAGAAGAGAAGAGAGAGAGGAGAAGAGAAGACTACAGATAAATGGAATGCTTAGAACAAAGGTGTAAGCTGTCCTGTTCAGTGAACAAGTAAACCAGGTTGTCAATAGCATAAACAGGGAGTGACAACATGGTATAAGAGACCAGTGTAGGTAGTGAAGAAAGAGCATGGAGCACATGATGCCTTCTGGGTTACTTTGAGTGCAACAGGAAGCCACTGGAAGGCTTTACGTCTCCAAAGGATACTATAGCTGTTATCAATAACAGACTGTTCCGTAAGTAAGGAGGCACAAGAAGTGTAGTTAGAAGGCTATGATGAGCCAAGAAAAGAAAATGGCACCCTGAATCAGGTCAGAAAGTAGTGAGGATGATGAGTAGTGGTCAGAGCTGGGTGTGAGGACCACAGAAGACTGGCAAAGGGCAAGAGACCTAGCTCAAGAGGCCAGCCTTCAGTCATTTCCCAGGGCAGCTAGATAAGGGAGTCTATGCAAGGACAGGTTAGTTGCATGAATCTCTCTTGGTTAGGTGTGAGCTAATAAATACAGCAGCTAGTGAAACATTAACAATTCATTTAATGAGAAGCAATTCAAATATTCATTGCTGAATGTATAAACTAAGTGTAGTATATATGTATAATTAAATATTTGGCCTTGAAAAGGAAGGTAATTTCCCAACCTTGTTGGGAGGATATTCAATCACACTGTGAACCCTGAGTTTGCATTTACATTAATTAAATAAAAATTAACCTTGGTCAGGAGGCTGAATTAGCAACTAGTTGACAGAGTAATCAGAGCCACAGAGAACATCCAGGAGAGACACAGAGTCACAGAAAGTAGTAGGGTGGGGTCTTCTGTGAATGCCAGCAAGGAGAAAGAGTTAACTAGTAGCTACTCAACCCCTCTGAGTTTGCAGGTTTTCACTCTAGACTTTAAATCTTGAATCTTATTCATAATTAGAAGGATAGAGATTTTGTTAAAACTACCCTTAGCAGGAGCAGAATTCTCACCAGGCTGTGGTCTAAGTGGTCAGACCACTGCTAGGAAAGAAGGCCAGTGACCTCAAAGTTGCAATTGCTGCCTGACACAGCAGTAGATTAAGGCACAGTTACTATGCCAAAGTTAACACAAACTACAGGACGGATGAATCTTGAGAACAACATGATAAATGAAATAGCTCAGTCACATGGACTTGTCTGAAGATTTTAAGCAG